AGAAAATATAAATAAGTAAATATATGTGAAATATAGCAAGCATAAGAGACATGAACTAAAATCATTTTTGAAGAAGGCTGCTTTTGGTGAAATGCGTGGAAGGAAAAAGGTGTGTTGATGTAGAATGGTTTCAGTGTTGTCGACACTCGTGACGGAGCCAAGTATACAGTGCAAGTTGTCCATTCGGCAGCTTTGCTACTGTCTATGATTTTGGTCTATGGACGAGAGCAACGACTGCTGGCAATGGCACACTTGATTGGAGCTGACTCGTTGCCTAGTAGAGATCAACTCGACAACAACTTGGTAAAGAATTTCTTGACACTTCGAATATCTTCATTGTTAAGAGACTCGAAAAGAACTGGGAAATCCCCGAAAAAGTTCGAGTAGATACAAGCATTTTTTTGACGAAATAGCCTGATGAGGACAATCTCTGCATTCTTGAAAAAATTGGTAAGGGAGTAATGGTCGAAGACAGTGCCCGGTATTAGGAGTGTAGGTAGGTACGGTCTCGTTCGCTGCGGATGATGGATCCGTCAGTGAGGTGGTTTGACACAAACCGCCAGCCCGTTCCCCAGCAGCTGTCAAAGCGAGTAGGAAACAAAAATGGTGGAAAGCGCATGACAAAAACGGTACAATACAGACTTGTCGAAAGAAAGATAGAAAAAAACGGGCTGGCGCCCACAAAACCCATCCCCTTGACTCGCCTAACTATCCGCAGCAAACAGGACTGTGGCTGTATTTAGCTATGAACCACTGACTCCTGAGGCTGCGTTCATAGTTTGCAGCGGCATATCAGCGACCAATAGCGTCCACCAGCGTTCCGAAGGCGTCCACCAGCGTTCGAGCTGGTCAGCGATTAAAAAAGCCTTAGATATTGATCTAACGTCTGCCAACGTCTTAAAAGCGACAAGCAGTTCAAGCAGTTAGGGAAATAGGTGTATCAATTTGATCGTCTGACCAAACGTCTGCCAGCCGTCTACTAGCGCCACCAGCCGACTAGCAGCAGACTGCTAAATGTGCGGGCCACTAGGAGCTGGCTCCAGCTGTCATGCTACCATCTTATTGCCCATACTTCCAACTCCCGAACGCTGGCAGACGCCAGTTCGATATTTGTACTTTCCAGTCGCTGACGCTGCTGAACGCTTGAAAGCTGGTGGACGCTCTTGGTTGCTGGTAGACGCTACCGCAAAGTATGAACGCAGCCTAAGCGACTATCCAATAAAGAAAAGCGAGAAACATCGAAAACGAGCAGAACATGTAGAAAACACTCAGATCGTCGCGCAATCGCACTAGACAAGTTTTTCAGTCAGTGATGGTGTAAAAGTGACAATGGTTCGATTAAACTCTACCTGTTTTCAGCAATTCCTACCGCATCTGTCCAATGCCGATGAACGAGCATTCGTGATAGTAAACAAGGATGGCGACTATGCCATCGTTAAGGGCAGATGGACGGGTTTCTCCAGAAAGCAGGTGAATATTTCACAGCTTGCTGACGACCTTGCCTTTTTATCTTAACTGTTTCTTATTTCAGCCTGCTTCGAAAGGTCAAAAAGCGAAACCGGGCTCCGCTGGTCGACTTCTCGTTGATGCCTTCAACCTTCTGAAAAATACAGTGCAAAAAATCGAAGTGCCATCTCCTGAGGGTTCAACGTTATTCGTGATTGGTGGTGAGCTTCAATAGTATTCCTACAGATTTAGAACCTGAGGTAGAGAAATTATTGTCCTTTGTCGTAGTCAGACCCTGGGGTCGGTTCCACGGAAAAACTCAGTGGCGAGCGCACGCAAGGAGCTAGGAACGAGCATAGCAGACCAAAGCATGAGATTCTCTCATTTTGGCCTACTGACCAGGGCGTTGGAACTTCTCCAATGTTCTGAGTTACTAGCCGGTCCTTCGCCGTACCACAGCAACGACAACGTTCGGTACGTGCCGCGTGTGCGCCACCGGTGAGTTTTTTCCCCTGTCCCGGAGGTTAGCGTGTAACAAGAAGCAAAGGAATGAGATAATTGGTTAGAAGGGGTCAAAAACATCTGTGGAATGGGACATAGTTGCACGAATATTGATAAGATGCTGAACCCTTTCGACGAAGGTAGGACCACTTTGTAATTTTGCATCGTTGTCTGGTGGCCTAGATTGTAACCTGCGATTTCGAAGGAGGTGGGAGCTTCGGTGGAAGAGTCACCTTCCAATCTCCACTTTTTCACAGTTCATAAATGTTTCACGCACTCACTGCTCTTTTTTTCAGATGCACAAGCACGTCTTCCGGGTAAGCGGATAGAGTGCCGATCAACGAATACCGCAGAGCAAATTGCCTCAGTCTTTTGTGTCTCCACCCTGTTCGTGCTTTGCAATCCAGACAAGGTACGTCGCTATTGACCTTACTTCCCGTTATGACCGCTTTTTTCACTGAGGTTCGTGATGCGACAGTCCCAAGGGCGTTGATATACGGAAATAGCATTCGTAACTCAATTCATGCTTTTTTTCTTGGGGAGGGGGAAAACCCTGCTAAACCCATTGCATTTCCCTAGCGTCTTAAGTGTGAGCGGTGTTTTCCCCCCCCCCCCTCACTTTTCTCGAGTCAGTATTTGCTTAACAGCCTGAATGAGCAGTCAAACAAAATTTGCGTAACCGCCATGAGCACTGAACGATCAAGCTGAAAGCCTTGATGGATGTTACAGTTTCTGTTTTGTTCTGTTTTCTTTAGTACCAGTCACTGGAGTGGAGGCAGTGTATTGGCAAAAGGCGCCGATTTCCACTCATCTATCAGAGATTCAAATTTTTTACGTCGCCGCGAAAAAATCAAAATTCCTTTTTCCGGCCCATGAAAATGGCACTTATTCGTTCAGAGAAAAAAACCACTATTTGTTTTGAGAGATAAAAACATTCACCCGTAGATAAATCAGCTAGCCTGCGAGTGCACTCGAAGTCCTCTGGATGGGGTAGGCATGGCTGCGTACTTCAACTAAATATGGCGGTTGCTGTGCTTTCCGTGAGATATTTTCGTTTTGGCACAGTTGTGGTCTTGTCTCTGTCTGATGCTGAATAAGATGACAGTCGTCCCGAAGTTAAATATCCCACGAGTAACCATCCTAGGCCATTTTTAAATGCCCGGTCTACTCCGTCTCAGGGATAAGGAGTGTAATTGTGCTGGCCAAATCGCTTTCAAAATGCTACTACCTACGATTCCGAGTGCAAAGAACGTGATATATTTGCACTTATTAGCGGCGAACTGCACACTCACTTCCGTGGACCTGGTTCTCACCGTTGTGTGTCCGAGAACAGATCTCGCCCAGGCTGCAGGCAGGAGCGCCAACGAATAGCGGGCTAAGGGTTTGCGTAACCCCGCGTGTATGTGAAGATACTGGAATCAACTATGGACTGCTGCCAACTTTGGAAGTAGCCAACGCACTTATGAGACGCGCTTAATTGGCTAAGGTATCACACCTACAAACCCGCTTCACGCTGCACTTAATGAACGGTTAAGTAGCACGTTACTATTAGCTGCGAAGCTATTCGCTTCGCACATTGCGAGAGTAATCCTCGGAGTGGATGTACAAATCGTCTCTAAACGAGAGAACGTGAAGGGGCGCGGATCAGTCAGGGCAGCCTTGTTCCTTATGCTGGCTCCAGCACAAATTGGGGAGGGGAGGGGGCAAGGATTCTCTGGCTGCGATGTTTTCCGAGCACACTTTCGTGTGCCGGACTCTTTAGGACATCATTATAACTACGGTCCCTTGTCATATCATTGTTGCTGGACTTTCTACTCACTCTCTCCTGCTCAGAAAACAAGCTAGACCATGAATGATGAAGCTGCAAACCATACCTGCGCGAGACGATGGTAAGAGGCGTGGCGCCGAACGTGATCAGGGTGAAGCCGAAAGAGAGACAGAGACCTATGTAAAGGAGTAGAGGGTCCATGTCGAATACAGTTTTACATCTTGCTACCCTCCCATATAAACGACTAGTCGCGTATTCGCGAACGGCTTCGCCGGTTGATCCCTCCTTTCCGCGGGTGGTACATGGGCTCCCCGCGTGAGAAGTTTTCCATGAGAGGGAGGGCCAGTCGGATCGGCCGGCTTCGCCGCCGAATGGTCGAAAGAAATATTGTTTTGAGAATTACCGCACTTTACCGTTTCACTTCTAGTATATACCCCCCCCCCCCCGCCCACCCATCCCCCACCCCTCCCTTCTCCCCTTCTTATAAAGACAGTCATCGTGAATTTTCTATACGCGCCACTCCCCTTAGTGATGAGGAATCGCAGAATAAACTATTGCCGATGGTATCCCTATTGTTATGCCTCACTAACTTCATCTGCCAGAGCATTGCTCAGTTTCACCATTACTCATAATTTCTTAAGATTTGCGTTTTGAGGGTTTTTGTCCTCGGCACCGTTCACTTCGGCGAACGCCCCGCCCGTCAGGGGTGTGCTTCATTGATTTCTTCCGCCAACCTGTTGCCTATCATTTGCCTCATTTTTCACTCTCCGGGCTCCTTTGAAACGAGTTACGAATTTTTGAAAGCTTTGTGGCAAGCACCGCCCACCTATGGAACGTCCGCCCATAATGGGTATGTCTCACTCATTTCGTCCGCCAACTGATTGCCTATCATTTGCCACATTTTCCACTCTCCGGGCTCCTTTTGGAACCGATTACGAATTTTTGAATTATGTAGCTCACAACTGTGCGCACGCTCCCGCCCACAGCTGCGGAACACCCCGCCCTCAGGGGTGGGCCTTAGCTAGAACCACGTGTGTTCGTACATCTTGGACCATGCTCCTTACCCACCCCAAAAACCTTGGACTCCGCCCACTTGAAAAACTGGCTCTTCAGCGTTTAGTCGAACTTTCGCGACAGACAGAACAGAACAGACAGACAGACAAGACAGACAGACAGACAGACAGACGTCGCCCTTTATATATAGTAAGATAGCTTGCAACTGTAGATGCGCTACATTAAATTAAAAATCATCGAAAACTACTTAGTGAGTTCATATAAGGAGCTTACTTCAGGTTCGATCGCGTAACGACAGTACCTCCGTTGGTCATCAAGCGCATAAATGGCCTTTGACGTTGGCATGTGGGTATGGCAGGCAACTTCCTTCAAATCGAATCCTGCAGTCGCATGACGCCGAAGGTGAACATTTTCTAATGATCTAAAAAATCCTACGAATTTTTATGAAATGCTCACAATACGAGTTGGCGTGTTCTGTCGGCAGGCGCTTCTACGACGCAATCCCGCCGCTTTCTGACAATAATCATTTAAGGCCAGACCTAAGTGTTTCCTCTAGTAGCCCTAGCTAGTTGCGAAATTCGGCAGTTCCATCGCGCACAGATTTTCTTCTTCTTCTCCTTCCCGCGCCTTTCGCAGGGTCCAGTTCTTGTAGATGTCGCTACTTTCCGGATTCAGTGCTATCTTTTATGCCGTAAGCATTTGCTTCCGTGAGGTCCTCGTGATGCGGTCTCTCCATCTTCTCTTTGGGGCTCCTCGTAGTCACTTGCCCTCTACTTCGAATTCCAACGCCCTTGGGCGGTTTTCACGCATACTGCAGTCGCTGCTCTCGTGCCTTCAGCTGGATCGGAGCCGTCTGTGTGACCGCCCTGACGTCCTCGTTTCTGACTCTGTCGAGTCGTGTCCAACCGCAGGCCCATCTCAGCATCCTCATTTCAGCTGCCTTTCATGGTTCTTGCAGATGGGCCAGCACTCGCTGCCGTAGAGCATTGTAGGCCTTATCACAGCCCGGTACACCTTGCCCTTGAGCGTTCTCGAGCACCGCCGGTCGCACAGGATGCCAGTGGACTCCCTCCTTCATCCAGACATCATTTATTCAGGCCTTCACCGCCTGGTCCACGCTGTTATATCGCTCCCCAGGTACTGGAAGTCCTCGACCCTTTCGATGCTCTCGCCGTGGCGGTCTACGATGGGTTCGGTGCACTCTTCGAGCTCAGGAACTTGGTCTTCTTTACGTTCAGCCGGAGTCCATTCTCAGCGAGCACATCCTGCCACCGCTGCACCTTGTCCTGAAGTTCTTCCCTGCTGTCCGCTATGATGTCCTTCACCATGAGACATGTGTTCCGGAAGGTCTCCCATTCCCAGCGTTCTCCAAAGTAAGCCAAAGAAGACGGTTCGAGTGCCTTTTAGGTCCCAAGAAGGTAAGGTAGCAAGTCCTCTGGCTTCTCTCGGCTATCTTTCCATTACCTCTTCTAAAGCCATGAAGAGGTGCAGTCGTGGATCGTTCGGGGCGTGAGGCCAAACTGCTCCTTGTGAGGAATAGGGACAACTGTTCTTAAGGACCATGTGTTGAGGCAGCCGCTTGTACATCTTTTATGGGCCTGATCAACTTGGTGGCCGCGGGTAGTTGAAGCACTCGCGTCACAGTCTCCTTTCTGCTTCGAAGATCGGGGAAGATTGTGCTGCCCCACCCCGCATCCGTGTTCGCGAATGCGTGCGTGGCGAAAGAGGTTGAAACAAGGAAGCGCTAACAGGTTAGTAATAGGAAAAAAGATAACCAAAATAGGATGACTCTTTCAAATTGTTAAAGGGATCGTCAACCCTTTAACAATTTGAACGCCGCGCAACAGAACTCGTACGCGGCGGCCGCCACGCCGCCGGCTCCGCCCACCGGCGCGACGACCCACTTATCGTCGACGATAGAATCGCCACACACCCGGATTGTCCGCCTCTGCGTCAATTACACTTATGATCCTTAGCGGTTGTTAAGTTGACTCTTTCAGGTTTGGAACTTGCTCCGCTGATGATGGCGATGTGCGGATCGAGCGGTTGCGACGGTGCAGCATGTGGAGCGTGTGGCGCATGCGGTGCTTGCGGAGCCTGTGGTGGTTGCGGAGGATGTGGCGGATGTGGTGGCTGCGGTGGATGCGGCTAACTGCCACGCAACATTAGAATCTCCCTACCTTTCCTAACTAGTCGGTATTCATTGCCTAAACATCTTGTCTTCCTTTTTTATCTATTGTTCGCTTCTATATAATACTACTCGTACTTTCTTCCTTCATCCTCTTAACTATTTGATATGTATCGATCGTTCTGTTTTCTCCTCAACAAACGCATTCCTTACAAAATCAAAGAATATGTAGAATATTTCTTCTTCGTTGTTCAGTAGCAATACGAAAAAATACTGATTACAAATCTCGTGTCTGTTCCTGGTGCTCTTTTGAGGCATTTATTGAATATGTAAATATTTAATTCCTATGGTAATGTTTCAGTTGCCGGAACTTCTTTCCTTTTCGGACTCTTGTTTCTGATATTTTTGATCTGAAGTGTTTTGAAAATTTGAAATCGGATGAATTTCGAGCCTAAATGTTTGCGAAGTGGGTGGCCCGGAGATCCAATCCGGTACCGAATGAAACCAGGCCATCTGTTGCAACTGCATCGCTGTTCGAAAACAAGCCTCGCTCTCAGCAGTTCAGTAAAGAGAAGAGCACGTGATCATGGCATCAAGAACTCTCGAGGTGGGGTCTTATCTATTTTTAGCATTGGACGTGCTTGCGGTGAGGTGCACAAAGGCTGGGCGACCAGACAGGCAGGAACGATAGTCACATTTTCGCGCAGTCAATATGGGCCGACAAGGGAGAAATAATCACTCTCAGGATCAGACATTTATTGTACATTGGCACATGATCATGGTATGAACGGAGCTTCTGAAGTCGCAACCTCCTCATACTGTTGCCATACACTTTCAAATAATCCGAGTTCAAGGGATTCTCACATGACTGCAGACCTGCTCTCCCACATAATGCGTCTCTAACCAGAGAAGTCCATCAACTTACCATAGAACTTTGAATGGAGACCTGGGTAGATCGATAGAGTCTAATGACTAGCTGTGGTTGTTTCCCTATTGTGCAATAATAAATTCAGGAAAAGAGAAATGAAAGAAAAATGAAGAAAAGTCCTATGAAGAAAAATGCGGACGAGGGAACTGCACCTACTGTAATGATAGAAAAATATGCCAACTCCGAGGAACGGTGTATTTGATAGAATGCCAGGGATGCGGGCAAAAATATATCGGAGAGACAAAGAGGCCACTCTTCAAACGATTAGATGAACACCGCAGGGCCCTAAACAATCCAGCTTCATACCCGGATAACAGTCTCTCAAAGCACCGCACCAAAATGCATATACACGAAGGTCCTCCCGCAATCACCATTACAGTATTACACCGCTCCATAGAAAATACAGTGGAAAGAAAACTATTAGAAGCACTGGAAATAAGAAGGCTCTCTCCGGAAATGAATAGTAGGGATGAGCTACGTGACGCGCTGCAGTTGATTCACTGACTACGTGATAATGGTGGAGCGGTCAGTGATATCATATGCAGAGGCGCTCACCAGGCATCCTCACTATTTAAGGGAGGATGACGGGTAGGGTCGCAGTCAACACTAGAAGTCGCACTTTTGCAAGGAGCGGCGGAGGCTATATTGGAGGCAGAAGACCAGGTCAGAGTCCAGTTCGGGCACCACTGAAGACAAGATCCGGGATTCGGTTGCAGACTAACTATAGTATTTCAGATCGCTGAGGAAGGTGCTAGACACCGAAATATTCGAAGGAAGTCTTTTTGGATTCTTTTGAGTCTTTTGAGTTTTTTGCAATAAATTTTTTGGCGCCTCTTTCACGTGTTTCATGTTCAGATGAGGCTCCGGGACAGCACCATATTAAAATAAATTCAGGCTTCAAATGTCCGAGGACTTTTGAATCAACCTAATGTTTGTAAATCGGATGCTGGGGGCAGCTATAGGGAGGAGCAACGTCCGTCGCAGTGGAAAGTATGGATATCTATCTAGCGAACGGAAGCGTCATCCAGCGTTCACCAGCGTCCACTACCGTCCACCAGTGTACGCCAGGGACCATCAGCGTCTTGAGGGACTAGGAAAGTATGATATCAATCTAGCGTCTACCAGCGTCTACCACGTCCCGTCTGCCAGGGACCATCAGCGACTGAGAGAATAGGAAAGCGGATATCGATCTAGCGTCCACGAGCACCCAGGCGGAGAGTATGGGGAAGTAGGAGCGAGTAGACAGCTGGATTGGATTTTGTGAAACTGTGACGTGTGCAACCGCACTGCACCACTACACAACACCGCACCCCTCGTCTTTGGTGGACGGTGGTGGGCGTAGATCGATATCCACACTTTCTTAGTACCTCGAGACACTGGTGGTCGCTGGCGGACGCTGGTAGACGCTGGTAGACGCTGCGATGTACGATCGCAGCTTAATGAGTGCAGAATCTGCTCAGAATTATTAGGTAAACTTAGGTAGCATTGAGATTCGCCAAAAGCACATACATCATAAGTTTTATCTTTTTCCATGACATACGTCAAAGACATGTGACAGGAATCCCATCATTGATGACTCAGTAATAATCATGATGGTATGGATGATGTCCATCAAAGTGATGATGGTGGTGGTGGTCGAGATCGTCGTGACCATGGTGACCGTAATAATCATGATGAGGGTCTTCATGATGACCATAAGAATCATGGTGAGGGTCTTCATGATGGCCGTAGGAGTCATGATGAAGGTCTTCATGATGACCGTAGCCATCATGGTGAGGGTGATCATGATGGCCGAAGTGATCATGATCGTGGTAATGGTGGTCATCGTAGTCGTGGAGTCCGTGTCCATGGTGTCCATGGGAATCATCGCCGTAGTGGTGGTTTCCATGATGGTCTCCATGGTGGTCTCCGTAGTGGTCGCCATGGTGGTGGTCATGGTCGCCATGGTGGTGGTCGTGATCGTCGAAGAGATGATTGAAGAAATCATGGAGACCTGAACATTCACGCCCATTTGGTCCATATAAGCTAATGGTAATTTTTAAACCTAGTTTGTTGTTGGCTTTCTAACCATAATAAGACCTAGACTACCTATATGTATTTAACACTTTTCTTCAGAAACCCACCAGGTACGCCATGATGGTGATTCATGTGGTGGTCGTCATGATGGTGATCGTCGTCGTGGCCGTAATGGTCGAATATTCCTGTATAATATGACACGTATTAATATTTGTAGAACGTGAAGGATGTTTAATTGAATGTCGCCCTAGCAGCACGATATGGACCCATACGGATAGGCGCTGAGGTGGGCGCCTTGTGTAAACCCACCTGGACCGCTCTGGCTGGAACTGTACCGACGTAGGCGCATGTCTTAAGGGGCAGAACGAATAAACTGAAGGCAGTTCGCTTATGGAGCACCATTAACATTGGCAGGGATGCCCCTTTGTGAGCAGTAGCAATGCCTCCACCTCTTTCTCTGCCGTTAGAGGGAGCACCACCTTGGCTCCCTATTGCACAGTCTACGATATGGAGCGAAGGTGGTGCTATTATGGAAGGGGTTATCAAGTGACTATGAAAGGGGAGTTGCCAAGTGACTCGTCTGGAAAGAGGAAATGGCAAAGAGAACGTCGGAAAGCCTTCCAGTAGAGCCCCTCCAGCCCCGGATATTGTACGGGTAAGAGGCCAAACACCGCGTGTTGGGTCGAGTCCACTTGTTTGATTTCTTGTAGTGAACCCTCCTATCATCCTGTTAGAGGCAGAAGATCATCCATTTCATGCTACTTGTCCGATAGAATCGCTTTTGGCTGGAAGGCAGACTTTGAAGGCAGGCACTGGAGGCGGAGTCACTGAAAAAGGGATTTACCACTGGGACAACTTTGAGCCTTGACTCCTTCGCCTTAGGAAACTTCCGCCGCGAAACTGGCACAAGGTTGTCCATTGCGGACCACACTACCCTTCCCACACTATTTTTTGCCTTTTCATGGGTCACCGCGAACGGTTCCTTGGAGTCAATCTACAGTATTCGTTTCAAACTGAACCGGCAATTTCCAGGGGGGGGGCGCCGTCGTAATTAAAGTTTTTGAAAACAGGTCGCTGTGGCAGGAACCACCATCTGACATTTTGGAGAATATAGCTATGGTACATGACTTGTTTCTCGTGACACGAAGCCAAGGGATCCCGATCACCTCAGTTTAGCGCGTTCCGAAGACGCAAGGATCAAGATTGACTGAAT